GCATTACCTTTCGGATAAAAAAAGAATTATCCAAATCGGTCCACTAGCGGCGGAGTTATGCCGTAACACACATAAAAAAAAAAAATATATATACCGACGAATTGAATACCTCCTTCTTTTGGGAAGTCGGTCAAAAATGTATATTCTAACCTAAAACTTTAACAGTGGTAGAGCCCGTTTAAACATCTTAGCACGAATGGGCCGGCTCGCCCGATGTAATACCACGACCACACAGAAGACAGGCGTGAAATGGGGGCAATTCCGTGTTTCGTCTGATGAGTGTGGTGCCGAAGGCCTAATTTAAGTCCATTACTCTTTACCACCCTTTTCTTATAAGAGGAGGATGGGAAGGGGAAGTGGATTTGACGGTGGAGGAGATGCATAGGAAGGGGAAATATCCTCCTTATGTGCGTCTCCTCCTCCGTCAGATAAGGGTAGGCAACGCATCTGCAACTGCCGATGTCTATGGGTAGCGGTCGCTTCGCCATTTTGGCGGATTCAGGTGGCCGCTTGCTCGTTTGCCACCTTATATTATAAAAAAAAAACTCTTATTTACTTTTTCAACATGTTTGATGTTCCTTTGTTTATTTTGACATTCAACTGAAAAATAATAGATATATCTATTAACAAAAACACATATGCCCGGTTTCTCAGCTACGTTTAACCATTTGTTACAAAGTTGACGTCTTTTTATCGTATCGTTATGATCAACCTTGACATTTAAACTTAGTTTAAAATTATAATAAACTTTATCGATGATCTTATCAAAAGGGATGCGTATTAAACTATAAATATAATGTAGTAATGATGTATGAATCAGTTGGGAATTGCGTTACTCATGTAGTAATTGCCAGATCACCGTTCACATTGTTACAGCTCAGTACAACGACTCGGTAATTATTTATATGAATCATACCTACACATCGGTTTTCCTTCTACAAAGTTGCAAACTGAATTAAATAGAAGATCTTACTAATATTATAAATGCGATAGTTTAGATGGATGGTTGGATGGATGTTTGTTAGCGTTTGTAGTCTAAACGGCTGAACGGATCTCCATGAAATTTGGCACAGGTTTAGAGCATAGTCTGGAAGAACACATAGGCTACTTTTTATCCCGGGATAAGTTACGTTTCCCGTGGGATTTATTAATTTAATTTTTTAATTTTTACTCGATCATTCCGCGACGGTTCAAAATGTCTTATTTAAATTTGGCACAGATGTAAAACAAAGTCTGGAGTATACATGGAATAAGCTTCATCCCCGAGAAATGTCCAATTCCCGAGGGATATGTAGCTTTTTATTATTTATATAGTTCGTATGTTTTCTAATACCAAGCGGACGAAGTCGCGGGCATATCAGCTCGTAATATATAATTGTTGAATTTTTAACAACGTAAGATGGATTTTTATGGTAGTTATTGGACATAAGCGTAGGTTTCTAGTAATTAATGTAAAGAAAGACTGTCTCTGAAGAATGTCGGTGCTTTATAAACAGACATTGCCTAGTGTGGGCTTTGAGTTAGTTCCTCAAAAACGAGGTTCAGGCTAAGCGTCCTGCGCTTTGCCAGTCACAAAAAAAATTGTGTAGGCATCATCAAACGCATACTAACGTTAATTACAAATGTATTCTTTATCATGGTTTAGTATTAAAAGTTCAAATTGTAATTATTCAATCTTTTTTGGTTCCAATTAAATTATTTCTACTCTGTCTAATTGACTTACTGAATAAATCTTATTATTTCATACGCTTGTAAAATGCGCTCCAGAATCTCTATTGGACCATGCGATATAACATCACAAAATCCCACTTACGTTATAGAAACTTCCAAACCGCCGCGCGTTGAATCATAAATGAAAACGAAATCTCGCACATGTATCGTTATGCATGAACACAGTTTTTATGTGTAGATCACGTTCCATTGTCGATTACATTACGCCGTTTATATGTGACCACTCACCTAGTTCCTACCGTAGCGCACAATGAAAACGAAAGCGAAACTAACTATAAAAAGATTACACAATCGTGCATCCGTAACACAGCGTGGTATGGTTTGAAATATGCAAAGAAATATTTATTTTAAAAGACACAATTGGTTGACACTACCTTAAAAAATGGACAGCCCATAAGACATGGTATTTTGTGTCTAATTATAAGGATTCAACTGTAATAATAAAAATAGAGATAGAAAGTATCGTTACTAACGTCCAAAGGCGCGTTTAAGATGGTAAGAACCACAAACTGTTATTACCAAAACATGACCTATCCATTTTTACAGATCAGTGTTTGACATGTGTGTCAAAAATAAAACGTATCGAATACTTCACTCGTGAAAATTGGTTCAATCGTTTAAATTATAGGAGGTTACAAAAGAATTGACCTATAAACAAACATGTTATATCTTCTAATATTATAAATGCTAATGTTTAGATGGATGTTTGTTAGAGTTTTTAGCCTAAACTGTTGAAAGGATCTCGATGAAATTCAGCATAGATGTAGATGATTTTCTGTAAGTACACATAGGCTACTTGCTTTTGTTTTTGTTTTCTGCGCCAACGAAGTTGCGGGCGAAAGTATCTCATAATTACAAGCTCCTGCTGTTACCATAAGGATAACAACCGTGCGTCTAAATAAGTCAATGGTATAATTGGATAAGAAAAAATCAACTCTAAACCTATCAGACAAGGTCAAAATTAGGTTAACGTTAAGGTACAGTATCAGTATGCATATTGCGTAGTAAATGAATACTTTACGTACTGTTTATGTTTTTGTAATTATTATTATATCATAGTAACAAGACATTGTGTTGATTGAATAATGATTGATGTTTTAATTGATTGTTAGCTGATATATTGGGAACCTAAATGCAACCTCTGTTATTTTATTATTATTTTTTATATTATAAGGTGGCAAAGGAGCAAGCGGACAGCTGAATCCGTCATTTGGCGAAACAACCGCTGCCCATATACAAGCGCAATTGCAAATGCGTTGCCTGCCCTAATACGACGGAGGAGGAGATGCACATAAAGAGGATATTTCCTCCTATGCGTCTCCACCGCCGTCAAATCCACTCTCCCATCCAATCCTTTCCTCCAAAAAAGGGTGAAAAGGGAAAGCGACTAAAATTGGGCCTCCGGCACTACAGTCATCAGACGAAATGCGGAATTGCTTCCACTTTACTAGTCTTCTGTGTAGTCGTGGTATTGCACCGGGCGAGCCGACCCATTCGTGCAAAGATATTAAAGCTCGTTATACCGCGATATTACACAAAATGCTTATAAATTACGCCGTTAGTTCAAAAATTACAAGTACTTATTAAAAGATTCCAAAATTAAATAGGCTCGTTGTTTAGTAAGTTAGTCTGCGAAGGTTTGTATTTAAAGGTTCAATGCATTAAATGTGGTCTTGTTTGAAATTTCCACCTGTCATAAAGTTTGTATGGTACTATACCTAAAAACAAAAATTCGTTGCAGTGATTGTGTTATACGATGTGCAGACTTTTATCGAAGACCTTGCCGATATCCTTGTATTGGTGAATGCATATTGCATCTACTGGGTCATTTATAAAATTAATAAACTCGATTTTTGTTACGTTAGTATGTTTTGCTGGGAGTTATTTAATCTATGGCGTATTAAAAAGTGTTAAAACCAAGGTAAACTCGGAAAAACTCGAGTTGTGTAATTGCTGATGTTACCAAACTTATTAGGTTCAATTTATGACAAAGAAACCCTTTAAATGTTCGCTAAACTCGTTTCTCTATTTAGGATGCACCTATAAATTGTATTTTTTTTTATTACAACTTATATTTTCACCATAAATTCCAGTCACGTGCCGAAAGCAAAACCCACAACAATGGCGGAGACGCCGGAGCTGAAACGGATAGCGGAGAACACCAAGATTCAGAGCAACGTCAAGTATCACGCGGACTTCGAGAAGAGCAAGGGCAAATTTACACAGGTATGCGATATACTACTTATTGCAATGGTGTAGACTTTAATGTCATAAGAATTACTTCTCCATCTATCACAGAGGAAAGTTCTAGAAGAGTTTACTTATTAGTTTTATAAAGACTTATTAAAGTCTATAAATTGACTACATAGATAAATCTTTGCTTGAAATGTTTACTTAATCCGTAACTTAATGTAGACTGGCTGTTGGTCTTGATTTCGTCCACGTGAGATTAAAAAATATAGCCTTTGTTACTCTGCGATAACGTAACTAATGGTGAAAGAATTTTTGGAATACGCCCAGTAGTTTTTAAGTTATTTCAATACACGCAAAAATAAAAAAATTTTTTCCTCTTTATAATATTACTATAGATTAATTATAATAAATCTACATTAAGTACTTGTGATATATGTTTGTCGGTAATGAAAAACTCAGAGTTATTAATAGTCCTGTTCTCGTATTCCAGGTAGCAGATGATCCAGAAACGCTAAGAATTAAAGCGAACACGAAAATAATAAGCAATGTGGCATACCACGGAGACCTCGCCAAGAAAGCCGCAATGGAAAAGCAGCGACAAATCAATGAAAATGGGGAGCTAATTGGTAAGTACTGTTAGGAAGAAAACTAGTACCGTTGTATAGAATTGGCGCAACACTAGTTTATCGGCACGTCCCTAGCTGACAGCTGTCAATGTCATTAGAAGGATTGATTTTCGCGCGCATTCCTGACGATATCTCGAGTGGAGTGTTTAAAATAACATCGCTAGTTACAATTATATTAATTGTATGAAAGTACTACTGCTATAAAACAATAACCGAGAAGGAGACGCACATCAAGAGTACATTTCCCCTTCACATGCGTCTCCTCCACCGTCAAATCCACTTTTCCTTTCCATCCTTTCCTCTTAAAAAAGGGTGGAAAGGAAAGTTCTCTATCACTGTTAAATGTAACTGTGATGAACAACTTATTTAAAATAATTAGTTTTTTTTGCTACAAAACTCCACCGAAATAAGGGCATTTGAAATCCAAAACAATACAAATAATAGCGGGTTTTGAATTTCCGTTCTTCTGTGTGAACATAATACTTGTTACATTACGTAACATAAAATATTTCTTGTCAAAATGCAATTTGCTATAGTTTTAAATAATTTTGTCTCATTATCGGGTTTATTTGAAATCATTTCACATTCATTTGTCAAGCACTTTTGGGTGTGGTTTTGTGTTTTTTGTCTATTCAAGTTGTGGAAAATGTGAAATGTATATGTCTTTTGTATAAAATTATATTTTAAAATCTCAATAAACTAAAATTCAAATGTTCTGTACATTTCACTTTCCACAATATTTTGGTTCTCTGGTTCAAATGTATTCAGACAAATTGTGAAATAAATTACACTTTTGTGTAACTTTACGTTTCATTGTCACAACAACCTGAAATTTTTTCATTGTTACATAAAAATATTGAAATAACGTGACACAAACTGTCTGAAGCAATTTATGTTGTAACGTATCTAACTGTGGCATCGTCACTAATTCCTATTTGTCCAACCGCTTACATATAGATGTCGCATCTAACGACAATTATCATCAACAAATCGACAACTACGCCACGGAAATGCTACCACCGAGTCTACCACCAAACCAGCCACAAAAGAACCACTACCAACCACCGCCACAACAACCACAGCCACCCCAACAACCACAACCACCCAGACAATACCAAGAACAGTATCGACCGCAGAAAGAAGAATATACGTACCAATATCAGAAATACGACGCACCAGAGCAGTACCAGAATCACGGAAACCAGTACGCATACGGCCAGTACCCACAGAATTATGGCGCAAACACGCAGCCCAAGATCGGCAGGATCCAGGACTACGACCCCCTGAGCGACGGCCCCCGCGCACCCCCAAATATACAGCACGCCTCCGCTACTGTAATATACAACAGCACACGAGATGGCAAGCAGAGAGGTTTGTACAAGTCTTGGAGGCGAATTATAAATTAGGTGATGCTCGCGGATTTAGCCGCGTGAAATTAAAATAAAATAAGAAAATATAGCCCATATTACTTACTGATAACATAGCTTTTTAATGATAAAAGAATTTATGAATTCGGTCCCGTAGTTTTGAGTTCAATACAAACAAAAATACATTTGCAATTTGTATTTTTGTATGTCTATAATATTATAATAGTATAGATAATAAAAAAAGTAACAAAAGGTTTACGAAAAGCTCGTGTTCAAATCTTATTTCGATTATTTTCTGTCTTGGTCAATAAAAAACAAATTTATAGTTTGCCTCTAATATACTTTTTTTAATGAACATGTAAAAAATTTGTCACGCTTTTTCGACAAGGTTATGGTGTCACTGTTTGTTATTCTATCACAACTGTGTGTGGCTTTATTTAATGTGTGTTTCGGGTGCAATGTTGCATTTATATCACTTGGTAATAGATTCTTTTACACATTTAATTGAACAATCAATTATAACTTCATAAAAAACAATTTACAACTTACAAAGTTACTTACAAGTACTCTACCAAGACAATTTATTAAAACCTTAGAAAACCCTAGATTTCTTATTAAGGAATAGGGTAATATGTACTGTCGCGGACATCCGCGGTGTTTCACTTCAGGAATAGTTCCCTTGTTCATTGTTACAAATAACTAATAAGATAGTGAGTGTAAACGAAGGGATAATAAAAATACACTAGCCGTGTAGTACTAACCGAATTATTGTAGAGACACAGATTTTTATTTGTTATAAAATGTACAAACGATTATAGCTTTTAAGGAACACCGCCTGTCTCCCTGATTGTACACTAAAATCTTCGCCTATAAAACATAATATCACTTATAGTTAGTAATTGATATTAGCAGGAGGTCAGCAAGCGACGCAACAGAGCAGGCAGATAGGACGTGTGACCGACCTCGACCCCCTGGCGGCGGAGCAACCGCGATCCAACAACAACCACCACCCCACGAACCAGGTACACACACCCCCAATAAGTAACCATGTTATACTATGTTGAGTTTATTCATCACACCCACACAACAGGTTATTGTCCTCCAAATAACTCTATCATACGTCATCTCAGTCATCACTCCCTTTTTGATCATGTCACCTTTTACGCAATGCATCCATCTCTTTCTAGGTCTACCTCTACCGATGTACCCTTCCACACTCATAACTAACGTTCTCCTTGTAACATGCGATTCATCCCTCCTCATAACATGCCCCCATGCTAACCTTTTACTCCTTACCTTCTCTACCACTGGGGCTACTCTCATACTTCCTCTAATATACTCACTAAGTTGAGTTTATCGTTGAATTAATAAAAATGTTTTTTTCAGCGAGTGTACATCGCGATGTACGATTACGAAGCGAATGATAGCGACGAAGTAAGTTTATTATTATTAATTACATATATATTCCCATTTTATAATACATTAGTTGTTGCTTGCGATTTCGCGAAATTTAAAAATATCGCCTACGTAATAGGTAACAGCTTTCTAATGGTGATAGATTATTTGAAATCGGCCCAGCAGTTTTAGAGTTATTTCAATATATACAAAAATTCAAATCTTTCCTTTTTATAATGTTAGTATAGACTAGCTTTCGTTCACGATTCGGACGCGCAGAATTAATAAAAAAACTTAGTAATTAGCTTATGTCTTCTTTCAGACTATGTTCTATATCTGTGCCAAAATTCATCAAGATCCGTTCAGCAGTTTAGGCTACACACACTAACAAACATCCATCGAAACTATTGCATTTATATTAGTAAGATAAGATTTGGCGATTTAAAAAAATTGACTAGTCAATCCTTCAGACAAAATTTTCATTAAAATAATGATAAAATCATATTAATATTTATTCTCTCAGTAATAAGGTATGTTTTCCTTTGTACAGGTGTCGTTCCGCGAAGGCGACTACATATCCAACGTGACGTCAATCGACGAGGGCTGGATGACTGGCGAGGTGCTGCGCACTGGCCGCACTGGTATGCTGCCCGCCAACTACGTCGAACTGGCGCCAGCGCCGCCGCACCACTACGCCAACTAGAATACTGACAAACGCCAACATAACGCCACATTACACAACTTCGCC